GGAAAGCTTCAAGCTTTCAAGGGGCTGACCCAGCTGGGAGGCATGACCTGTCACTTTTCTATTTTTCTCCTTCTTCCTGCCTGGGATATAGATGCAATGCTTAGAACTGCGGTAGCCATTCTGTGTTCATGAGAAACCCTGGAAGTGGATGCTGCAGATGGAACTTTAGTCCCTGATACTATGTGGAGTTGCCAAATTTGACCTGGATCTCCTGCTTCTGGATCTTTTTTACATGAGAGAAGAATCCCTAAATGATTTAAGCCATCATAATTGGGTTTTTTTTTTTTTACCAGCAGTCAAACACAATCCCTAACCGACACAGAATGTTTAGAAAAAACTTCTATAGTAGACTGTATTTTCCAAAAATAGCCACAACAATATCTCCTATCTCAATGGTCTTTATGCAGTGTGAGCTTGATATTCCTCCCATTGAATGGGGGAGACTATGTCCCCTCCCGTTGAAGCTGGGTAGACCTTTGTGACTGTTTTAACTCAGAGAGTATGGTAGAAGTGGTGCTATAGGACTTCCAAGGCCAGCTCATAAAAATGCCACACACTTCTTCCTGCTCTCTTGGGATGCTCACTTTTAGAACCCAGCCACCGTGCTATACAGAAGTCCAAACTCATGTAGTCAGAGACCACATGGAGAGGCCAGATAAGCGTTCTGGCCAACCTCCCAGCTTAAGTCCCAGACAACAGCCAGCCTCAACCACATGATGTGTGAGTGAAGACACCTCCAGGTGATCTCAGCTCCTAGCCATCAGGTCACCCCCAGTCTTTGAGTCTTCCAGCTGAGGCCCCAGAGATTATGGAACACAGACCAACTCCTACCACCATGCCCTGTCCAAATTTCTAGTCCAGAGAATCTGAGCATAACATGGTTGTCTTATGCCACTAAGTTTTGGGGCACTACTAGTTTGAAGTGGTAACACTTGAGCTGAGACCTGAATGGGAAGATCAGGGCTAGGACACCCCAGTAGAGGGAAGGGCAAAACTGACATGTGAATGCATTTGTAGTATTTGAAGAACAGTAAGAAGGCCAGTGTGGCTGAAGGCAGTGATGAAGAAAACAGTAAAGGAGGTATTGCCAGAGAGGTGGACAGGGGCCAGGTCACGTGGGCCTCCTGTGTGAGGGAACCTCTCCAGGGCAGGATGGTGACAACCTCCAGAGTTCTCTTCCAATCAGCAGACTGGCTTCTGAACAGGCCTTCAATGCATTAGTCCAAAGGAGGGAGCCTTGGTAGGATTTTCTCATCTTTTTCTAGGAGAGAGACTTGTTTTAGATTAAAAAAATAATAATAAAGAAAAAGAAAAACAGAGGACAGGTATCCAGGGGCCATACCTGTTCAAAATCTCTAGCTGTTCACCATATACAGCTGGGCATATGGCTGGGCACGGTGGCTCACGCCTGTAATACCAACACTTTGGGCTGCCAACGTGGGTGGATCACGAGGTCAGGAGTTCAAGACCAGCCTGGCCAACACAGTGAAACCCCGTCTCTACTAAAAATACAAAAAATTAGCTGGGCGTGGTGGTGTGTGCTTGTAGTCCCAGCTACTCGGGAGGCTGAGGCAGGAGAATTGCTTGAAACCAGAAAATGGAAGTTGCAGTGAGCTGGGATCGCACCACTGCACTCCAGCCTGGTGACAGAGCAAGACTCCATCTCAAAAAAGAAGAGAAAAGAAAAGAAAAGGCATGAAGTCCTTAGCCCAGCATTTTGGTACTTCTTGATCTGGTCCTAGCTTTATTTGGGGACCCATTACTTGATCCCTGATTCTGCCTCCTACCTGTCTTTCCACAATTTTCTATGTTCTAGCCATGTGCAATGGTGTGGCACTCTCCAAACATACCATGAGCTTGTGAGCATTCGCTCATGCTGACTCCCTTGCTTTATGTGCCCTCTTCCACCACTCCCCTGGCCTGGTGAACTCCCTGAGTCCATCTCAATGGCACCTCTTCTGCAAACCTTCCTGCATATCTCAAAGTGAATATGTCTCTCCCTCCCTCAAGCCCCTACAGATTCTGCACAAAACTACAGTTCTGCAAATTATACTTACACAGAGTAATGTAAATTGTCTGTTCACATATTGATTTCTCCTCCCCACCTCCACCGTCTTACCCTGCAAAAGGAAAGCTACTCAAGGGCAGCTGTGAACCTTATTCAGCTTTGGGGCTCCAAGGCCTATTTCAGTGCCTACAGTAAACATCCTGTGATGCTTCCAGAATGAACAGGCAATTCAGATGGACAGGTGAATGGATGGCTGGATTGCTGGTTGGATGGGCAGATGAGGAATGGATGGATGGTTAGATGGGTGGGTGGACATCTGGGTAGATTAACTGGGAGTGAATGGGTGCATGGTTCTGTCATTTGGTGCATGAATAGATGACAGGACAGATGAGTGGGTGAAAGGCTGGCTGGATAGGTGAGTGGGTAGAGACTGACAGATGGGCAGGTGAGGAATGTTTTTATGACTGGGTTCCTGGAAGGATGGAAGGCAGCCTTTAAACCAGAAGTCAGTAACCTTTTTCTGCCAAGGGGCCAGATGATAAATACTTTAAGCTTTGTGACCCACGTATGGTCTCAGTCACATATTCTCCTTTGTCTTTTTTCACAAATATTTAAAAATGTAAACTCCATTCCTATGGAGCCCATAAGCTTCACAAACCCAGGATCATGGCCATCAGGATGACTGGAATTCATGGCAGCTGCTGAGTTAGCTGTAGCTATGATGTGACAAGCACAAAGCTGCACCCCAAACACAGAAGGCCACCCCTGAGCCCAACAATAGCACAATGAAGCCAGGACCTTTCCTGATGGGGAGATTTGGGAGGTACCATCAGCCCCCTCCTCATCACTGGGCAGCCTTGGGAATTTAACAGCATCAATCTCTAAGACGAAATTCTGAAGAACTTGCCAAGCTTAGCAACCAGGGATAGATTCAAAGCTGGGGAGTGGTGGAGAATGCCCCAAAGTCTATGGGTCCTTTAAGACTCATGTCCCTGGCTAGGACCTGGAGTCACACTGGGAGATGTCTGCCCCCTCTATCCCCATAAGCACTGATATAATAAAATATAGGTCCAGACCACAACTTCCTGCAACCAGCTTCTGAGTGGTGACTTTTTTTTTAAGATGGGGTCTCGCTCTGGAGTGCAGCGGCCCAATCTCGGCTCACTGCAACCTCAGCCTCCCAAGTAGCTGGGATTACAGGCACCTGCTACCATGTCTGGCTAATTTTTGTAGTTTTAGTAGAGACACGGTTTCATCATATTGTCCAGGCTGGTCTTGAACTCCTGACCTCAGGTGATCTGCCCACCCCGGCCTCCCAAAGTGCTGGGTTTGTGAACCACTGTGCCTGGCCCTGGGTGGTGACTTTTATGGGTTGTCCCCTCACTCCATCCTTAGGATATTATTATGGACTACCAGGAGCTTCAATGTCTTTCCAACTGGCAGGAAGCAGAGCAAACACAGATGCACATTTTCCAGTTAAAACCCTCTTAACAAGTCACAAAAATGCTCAGCCCCTCTGTCATGCTGCCAGCCCAGAAACAAGTGAGAGAGAAGGAAAAAAAATTAAAAAAAAAACCCAGAAAACTGATCCTTCCAGCCTTTGCCAAATAGATCTTTTAGGTGTAAAGCCGGATGGGGGCTGGTACATTTCATACTTGAGGGCTTTTGAATTCGATGGTGTACACAAACTTTCATCCTGGGCGGGGGGCAAAAATGGGGGGCCAAGAACACCAGACCAGAGTAGTGCTCTATCCCCCCTGCACCCCCGGGGGGTCCTGGCTGCTGTCAGCTCATGTGGGGATGTGATGCCAGGGTGGCATTGCTGACAGGGACTTCAGCAGGGTTCAGCAAGAGGCCTGGCTTGGTGTTGAGTGCTCTGGTAAACCCAGAGATGGTCCCTGCCCCGTGGAGCTCCTAAGGCAGCCAGGGATGCAGAGTGAATGCAAGGGCAGTGGCCTGGGAGCCAGGAAACCTGGCGCTTGTCCTGGCTCCACCATTATGTGACGCGGGCAACATCACCTCCTCTAGGCCTTCCACATCACCACCTACAGAACGTCCAGGTACAGATTCCCAGCTCTGACATTCTTAGAGATGGTGAATGATTCAAAGCACCACAGAACCCAATGCTCAACCACCGCCAGGCTGCAAACGGCTGAGAGAGAGCTGAAAGGAGCAGGAAGCCTGAGTCCACCATGGTCCCCCACTTTCTGAGTCTTTGCTGTGCCCTCTTCTCACCCTTTCCTATGGCCTAGCCCCAGACATCACCTTCTCAGGGAAGCCTGCCTAAGTTGTTGGTCAGCCCCTTCATCTGTCCCCTTTGCTGGCCAGAGAGCTCCTGAGGAAGGGCCCTGTCTGACCTGTCTTCCCATTCTCCAGTTCCTGTCACGCAGTGAGAGTTCAAGAAAATGTCTGCTGAACTGAATTCAGCTGACTGCAAAGGGGCACCCTGCAAGCTGTCCTGTGAGTTGTGAAAGGGGGTGGTGCCTGATGTTCAGGCTGTCCCCAAGTCTGGCCCAAAGGAGTCCCTCACCGCCAGCTCAGGCACTACTGCCTTGATGCTAGGGAGACTGAGGAAGCCTCTTGATACCCTCAGCTGCTCCGTCACCAGGCAGACGCCTTTTTCATCCAAACCTAAACATCACACACAACTCACACACACACAAACTCACATATAGCAATGCCCAGAAACACTCTGCTGTCTTCTTCCTGCCTTTCTCAGCAAGAGGGCTAAGGAAACCTTACACATCCTGTCCAAAGCCTCAGCCCATGCCCCTATGCACCCATCCCTGAGCAAGGAGGCACACCCGCTGTCTGCCCCCGGAAGCACATTAATCAGGAGACGGGCTTCCCTGAAAAGCCTCGGTGAGTGCTTGCCTGCTGCCAGGCCTCTGTTAATGGAAATCACCTCTGTCTCCTCATTGCTTTCCTGCCTCTTATATCACAGACTTGTAAAAGGGCAATTAGTTTTGGACAATTAAAATGATTAACTCACCAGATGTAAGTGCTGGAGCATCTCCACGTATCTGCAGAGGGAAAAAGGGGTTGAGGCTGCATTAATCCCCATCCTGCATAAGCCCAGGAGGGTGACGTTTTGTTTATAAGCTCAAGGCCACAGGCAGCTCCTTGGGGACTCACGCTTTCTCTGAAGATAGCAGTTCCTGTGCGATGACAAGGGCTCTGGACTGTCCTTCCACCTGTGGGTAGAAAGAAAGCCATCAGGTGGGACAGGCATCAGCAGTTTCTAAAGGAGACCATCATGCTGCTGGAGGCAAGTTTCAAGCATTTCTCAGCCCATTTCCTGGTACTCATTAACTGTATGTTCTTCAACAAGTTATTTAACCTCTCTGCACCTCGGTTTCCTCATCTGTAAATGTGGATTTTATCTTATTTGAGATAAGGTCTTGCTTGTCGCCCAGGCTGGAGTGCAGTGGCGTGATCTCAGTTCCCTGCAGACTCAAACTCTCAGGCTCAAGCGATTCTCCTACCTCAGCCTCCTGAGTAGCTGGGACTACAGCTGTGTTCACAACACCTGGCTAGTTTTTAAATTTTTTTGTAGAGATAGGGTCTCACTACATTGACCAGTTCAAGGCTGGTCTTGAACTCCTGGGCTCAAGCAATCTGCCCACCTTGGCCTCCCAAAGTGCTGAGATTATAGGTGTGAGCCACTGAGCCCAGCTGTAAATGCAGATTTTAACAGTGTCCAACTCTGAAGGTTGTTGAGCTAATGCCCAGCATGGCACCTGCCATATAGTAAACGCTCACTCAATGGCCATGATGATGGCATGACCTTTACATCCCACTTCATGATCCCACCAATCTTGCGAAAACTGTGTTTCCCTGTACTGAGGAATTCTCTCTTTTCTCTTGCTTTTGTACATGCTGTTCCCTTAGCATCCTCCCCGCTTCTCTACCTGGCCAACTCCCAGTCATCTTGTAAGACTTAGCCATGGCAGCACCTCCTCCAAGAAGCCTCTCCTGATCCTCCCCCCTCAACTGGCTGGGTTAAGTATCCTTTCTGAGCATCCTTCTCCCTTGGCACTTATCATTACTGTAAACAATTACATCTCTCCAGGAGGGCAGGGACCAGGAACTTCCACCCCTGCATGACCAGTGCTTAGCGTATGGTATCTCTCTTTGTTGACTGAAAGAATAAGTAAGTGTGGTAGTTCCCTTTGTTGACTGAAAGAGTGAGTGAATGCACATTCATTCCCCTTGGGAAACACTAACTCTGCAGGCTGACCTCAGATGGTGAGCTATTTAACCCATTTGAGCCCCAGTTTCTATACTTCTACGATTTGGAAATAGACTGAGATTATTTCTATAAACAGGAAGGATGGGCAGGGCTGAGACAGATGCCTGGGCATTCTGCCACAAGCAGGCTCCTGCTGGGTGGCCCCAAACCTGCCGGATATCAGACACGACTAGTGGCTGGGATCCAGAGATGCAAAGACATGTTGTGGCGGCCTGATGCAACAGATGGTGGTAGCTGTGAATGTGCAGGTATGGCTGGCAGTGGGTGGCCCGTGGCAGAGCAGAAGGCACTCAGCTGGGAACACCTGTTTCCTGGTACCACTCTGCACAAGTCACTTTCAAGGTCAAGCCTCAGTTTCCCCATATGTGGACAAACTAACTTCTAAATTCCCTTCTGTGCTGAACCTTGCGTGTTACTAAACTTGAGGAGCCACTCATCAAGTGAGCGATCTACTCTAGTGATGAGAAAATCACGGCTGAGAAAGTCACTGCATAGTGTTGTGGTAAAAGCCTGGGGTCTAGAACGAGGCAGTTTCCTGTCTCTGAATCTTATTTGTTGAACAAGTCATTTAGCTCTCTGTGCCTCGATTTCCTTACCTGTGAAATGGGCACAGTAGGAGAGTAGTATCCAGCATACATGTGTGTCATGAGGATCAGATGAGTGTCTGTACAGAGGATCTCTCACACTTGGAACTTTGCCTGGCATGTGGCAAGCACTATGGCATTACTGGCCATCATTATCCTTGTTGTTTTTGTCATTGAGGTGGTGCCAGGAACAAAACCAAGTAACCAGGGACAGAATAAGAAAAAAAAAATTACAGAGTCGAGTAGGGGAAAGGCCTTAACTGCAAAATGAAGGCTGGCCACTCCTCTGACACGAGCAGCAGAGACAGTGGAAAGCAAATGGACCCTGGAATCACTCACATCCAGTGCAAACCCAGCTCCAGCACTGTTTCACCGTATGGCCTCTGGTGAGCCCCTTTCTCTGAGCCTCAGTGTTTTTGTCTGAGATCTGGTAGGGAATAACCAACCTGGTCTCACACACTGGCTTCCTGAGGACGCGCTCCCAACTCAGGGCCTCTGCACGTGCTGTTCCCTCTTCTTGCAACGCTCTTCCCCAGATCTTCTCACTCGTACTTACTGGTTCTTTCAGGTCTCTGCTCAAGAGTCACCTCAGCACAGTCATCCATGACTGCCTGCCCTAAAGAACTCCCCAAATCATTTTCCACCCCAGGGTTTCTCCATCTTGGACTACTGACATTTTGGAGAATAGTTTTTGCTGTAGGAGCTGTTCTTATGTATTAGAGAATAACTAACAACATCCCTGGCTTCTACCCACTGGATGCCAATAGCAGCCTCCGCTCCCTCATCCCCCACTGTGACAAACAAGAACATCTTTAGACACTGCCAAATATCCTAGGGCTTGGGGTGCTGCAAAACATCCCCCCTGGTTAAGAGCCCCCCCATATTTATCCTGCTGTGTTTTTCTTAAGAGCAGACACACTACCTAATGTTGTTTCACAGATGATGCTCAAGAGACACCCCATCAACTAGTGAATGAGACGCGGTGCCTGGATATAGTAGGTGCTAATAAATTCCCTTCTCTATCTGGTCCATCCCTAATGTTTCCTGACTGTTAAGCAAAGTGTTTTTTGGAGACTATAGTCCCTCTGAGGCTATCCTAACAGGGCAGAACTCAGGCCCGTAGGTAGTCAGCCTCTGCATCTTGCTGTGGCCTCTTTGGCTGGGGTGTCATGGCAGCCAAGGAGCAGAGGGGAAAATGTTGAGGCTTGCTGAGGCCTCCTGCCCTCTCAGGCAATGAATCTTGACCCATCATGTGTCTTCTGCATTTGCAGGGCTGGCGTGCACCTCCCAATGCAGGGCCTCTACAGAGCTCACATGTAGAAAGTCTCATGAGAAAAGATGTATTCTGCCAGGACAGGCCTCAACTGCTTAAGAAACCCAATGGCGATGCTTCCATAGAGAGGATTATTTTGTATGGAGAGGACAGAGGTCAGGAGATCTGAAGCTCAGTTTCTTCCCCCGGAAAATGAAGACAGGAGCCAAGGACACATCCAGCCTTCCAGTGGCCTGAGTCAAGCCTACTTGTCATGAGGAATGGTGTTGCGAGCAACTGCTCTGATATCTGAAGACCTGGGTTCAAATCCTGGCCTCCAGCCCTGACTGTCCTTATGCTCTTGGACAAGTTAGTTCTCTTCTTTAAGCCTCATCTGTAAAGCAGGAATAATAATAATACTTTACAATATAGTAGCTAGCATTACTGAACACTCAGTGTGTGTTAAGCATGGCTCTAAGCTTTTTGTGTGTTTTATCTCACTGAACCCTTTCAATAACCTATGAAGTAGGTACTACTATTATTTCTACTTTACGGATGAGGAAACTGAGGCACACATAAGTCCCACCCTTTGCCCAAGGTCAATGCTACTAAGTGTTAGGGCCAAGATTCATACCTAGGTAGTTTGGCTCCAGTGTTCCAGCACTCAGCAGCGTGCCTGACACCTGCACTCCTCCTAGACGGGGGCATGATACTGGGGAACACCATCCTTTGCCTGCACAGGGCAGGCCAGGAGCAGCCTGGGCTCACCCCTCTGCACTCAGCCTTCCTCACTCCAGATCCTCCAAACGTAACCACAATGGCACAAAGACAACTATGCTGGACGTCAAGATGCCTAGATCTTCCCCCAAACAAAGCCACGGGTGGCTGTGACCGTGGACGAGCCCCTCTCACATGCCTCCGTTTCCTCATCTGGCAAACAGGTGAGAATCCCTACCCTGCCAGGATGAGATGAGATGAGATGATGGATGGCAGCCGTCACACCATACCCAAATTTCCGGAGTTGCCATCGTTACCATTGTTACAATCTCCAAGCTATCAAGGACAGGCTTCTGGTAGGGTCCAGGCACGGGCCCCTCTGCACGTCCCACCCAGCCCCTCCTGCCAGACACGCAGACTCTGGGTGGGACGCATGGGGCAGTCCTGCTTCAGTGACTCTGTGATGATGGATGTGTCTTCGCCAGGCGGCTAACAGGGAGGCCTGGCAGGCTGTGTGCCCAAGGCATGCAGAAGCTGCTTTTGGGCGTTGCCCAACTGGGCCATTTAATATAGATGTTTGTTTAACCAGGAAATGAACTCCGAGGCTGACGGCAGCGTCCAGGGACAGGCTTCTGGGAACAGGGCTCCTCCCAGAAGCATGGGGGTTGGGATGCCAGGGCCCATGCTATTGCTCTGACATTTCTCAGGCTGAAGCTATGGGTGTTAACGTTAAGCTGCCTGCCCCTGCCTGAGGCTGTCCCCAGGGCTACTGGGCTCCTCCCTGGTCCCCAGCAAACTAGCTAGTTCAACACTTAGCTATTCTGGGACCCAGGCAGGTCGGGAGGGATAGTTCTTTCTCCAGGGAACCTCAGCATTAAATAGTGGGTCACAAAGAGAGTCAGGAATCCTGGTCCTCTGTCTCCATGTCTTAGTTTTTCCAGCTGTAAAACTGGGTGCTCAGCCTCCTCCTAGGACATCAGTTTCCAAAATACAGTCTGAGAACTTCTGAGGGTCTGTAAGTTCCTCCCTTTTCCAACTACATATCTGTGTGAACCTGGACGTTATTCATTTAAATAACCAAAACAATTCCAACTGAGTAGATGTGGACAGGTGAATCCAGCTACCTTCTGTTCAGCCAGACATGAATATTTGTAAAAATGTAAAAATGTCACTCTTCTCACGTTTTTTCTTGCTTGTTTTAGAAACTAGGGAGTTTTTTTTTTGCATAAAAGTGCAACTTATATTAACATGTAATGGGTTTATTGTTATTTTAAAATGCATTAAAAGTGTTTCAAATTTTTCTGATTTACTTTCTAACGTGGTAAACATTGAAGAGTGTGATTCATAGAAACAAAAACCCTTTGGGGCCCTCAATCATTTTTAAGAGGA